GGGGGGGAGGATCCTGTCTGGATCTGAGCGTGGCCTGTCTGGCAGAGACGTGAACAAGTGTGGGGTGCAGCAGTGGCCATGTGCCCACTGAAATGGGGCCCGGGGCGGTCGGAGGGCAAGGATAGAGCCGAACTCAGGCCCACCCTGGCGGTGCCGCGGCCTGCCCTGGGAAGCACAGGCAGAACTCCCGGGACCGCTCTCGTTCCGACAGTCCACCTAGAAGCTGCTCACTCTACCACAGAACTAGTTTGCAAACTGCGTGGGTATTGGTGGGAAGGCGGGTGTTGAGTTAGTTTTGATGTTTCTTTTCCATGTCAACTTTGAATGTAAGCCCACATGAGAACAGTAGAAGAACTTGAACTTTGGAATTTTCTCCTGAGACTGATTTCCAATCGGGTCTTCATGGCATGACGCCCCTAGGCTCAGGCAGCCTGGGTCACAGGCCCGAGTCCCCAGCGTGTGCAGGGAGGTCCCAGGACGCGGACTCATGTAGTCCAGGGTTACTGCCGTGCCCCTACCTGGCCTCAGAACTTGAACTTTTCTTGGCCAGAGTTAACATAAACAAATGCTAACTCTAAAAGAAAAATGTCCCAGAACCCGCAACTTAGACATGAAACCACGCTGTCATCCCCAGCCAAGGAGCAGTGTGGTGGTCCGTGTGTTGAAGATCGCCGACATGTTGCAGGGGTGTGCTGCAGAAAGCTGTCCCACCCCTCAGGCGACCTTCTTCATGGAGTGGCCAGGGGCAGGGTCTAGATTTTCCTTTTTTTATTGCAAATCACTGACATTATGATGCATCGAGCCGTGAGTGTTTTTCCAGCACTTTGATAACCCAGTTTCAAAGGCGAGTGGACAGTGTGGTCTCCCTCTCGGGCCCAGTGAGTGGCTGGGTGGAGAGGGGAGCACGTGTTCAGAGCTCGCCCCTGGGAAGGTGGCGCACAGAACTTACAGCAAATCCATGCTTTGCTTCCAGAGACCCAGCCTGGCCCGCGTGGTGGCGTGGATCGATTTCGAGACGCTGGCCCTGCTGTTCGGCATGGTAATCACAGTCCACCCCGCAGGACGCGGTTCCCAGTCTGCTTCATCCTGAGTCCTTCTCTCTCGCTGCCGCGGCTGACTGTACCGCATTCATTAAGGGCACTGCCCCGCTGACAGCGAGGGTCTGACAGGGTTAGTGCAGGGCCAGAGGGTCTCTCCTGAGGACGGGACGCAGTGCTCTGCTTACTTGGCTGGGCATCTCCTCCCAGGACCTGTCTGACAAGGACATACAGGTGCTTCTTAATCTTGGCCACGCTGTGCTGAGGGCGTCACCACGCCAACTTGTGGAGGGGACTTCAGTGCACGTGAGGGCTATGTGGGACTCGGGTCGTGAGTCGACTCTCCTGGAAGACGCAGAATTTGGCCAGGGCCGGGGGCGGTGGGAACAACTTGTGCATCTTGAACACCCCCTGGGGAGGGTGACGTGTCTTCTCTGGGCTGGGAGACCTGCTTTCTGTAAAGAAAGTCCCTGCGTGTTCTCATTTTTCTTTGTTTGCTTGTTTCTTCTTTTTTTTCTTTTCTAAATAGTTATGTCTTGGGGCCAGCAGGTGCCATGGTAATTACGGTTTTGGACTCCCTGATGGCCAACTGTGGTTCAAGTCTTGGACCGGGCTGCTTGAAATTCACAGTGGGCGCCTGAGCATGCTTACCTCAGACCCCAGGAGAATGGAGGAAGGATCGTGGTGTGGCCACCCCCTGGGGGGATGATGTCTCACCTTCCCTCTCTCTGTCTCTCTGGCAAGCGGACACACCCTATGGCAAAGAAAAGAAAACCTAAAAAACAAATTTAATTTATTATTATTACTTTTTTTATTTGCTATAGGGCAATGTGCACTCACTACAGAGAGACAGAGACAGAGAGAAAGCAAGGAAGCAAGTTGCCAGGTCCAAGACTCGAACCACAGTCGGCCATATGGGAGTCCAGCACCTCAACCACCACAACACCTGCTAGACCCTCTTTTTCCTTTTTTAAAGGTTTATTCTTTTATATTTTCCATGGGCCAGAGAGAGAGAGAGACAGACACAGAGAGAGAGAGACAGAGAGACAGCCCCAGCAGGGTCTTAGTGCCGTGAACCACCGGCCTCAGCCAGCCCGCCCACGTGCAGGCCTGTGCCCAGCAGGCCCCAGTCTTCAGACTGGACCTGGAGGCTCCCTGTGGGATTGCCTTGCACAGTGTGTGTCGCACCGCCGCGCCGCCCTCCGGCCCCGCTCCGTTTTTCTCAGCGGTGTTCCAATCCCCCCACGGCTGGCAGACAGGACGGTGGTCCCTGCTGATGATGCCACGTGCCTGCCCGCCGACTGCCAAGTACCGTAATTTCCATAACTGAACTTCTCACAACCACCTTCGAAGATGCAGGACACTGAAAGGCGAGGCGAGCCAACCACCTTGACATGTTTACGTGTTGGAGGCCAGCCGGTGGACTCCCACATGGCCAACAGTGGTTCGAGTCCCAGACCCAGGGGCTAGGAATGCATGCCAGGCACATGTGCGTGTGTGCCCAAAATCCTGAGAGGAGAATGGAGAAGGGACTGCGGTGTGGCCATCCCCTGGGAGGTGATTTCTCAGTTTCTCTCTCTCCGTCTCTCTGGCAAGTGCACATGCCCTATAGCAAACATCTCTCTCAGAGAAAGAGTTTAGGTGTGGCCTGTGGACAGTGGCATGTCCAAGGCCATGTGTGGCCCGTGACCTCTGGCTCCAGCTCTGTGGCCCAGCCAGCACCTTGGCTGCCCAGCCCCGTTTCCTGGTTGACAAAGCGGAGTGCATGCGGCGTGCACCCCAGTGTTGTGAGGGTTAGATGGGTTGGAAAGGCTGGAGGACAAACGTGCAGCCAGAGCCGCAGGTGCAGAGCTGCGCTGGGCAGCCCCGGCTCCGCTGAAGGAGGCAGTGTGGGGACCACTGAGCAGGAGAGGGGAGGTCGGAGACGGGGCTTCCGGGCAGCGCTCAGGCCGCAGCGGATCCCCCTGACGCCACTGCAGCGCCTTCCCGGCTAACGACGCGCTCTCTCTCCTCTTGCCCACAGATGATCTTAGTAGCCATATTTTCAGAGACGGGCTTTTTCGATTACTGTGCTGTAAAGGTAGGTCCGACGTCTCGCTGCATAGTTACAGGCTCGCTCGTCCGCCCATGTGCTTGTCCGCTCCTGTCCGTCTAGTAACCTAACTGCTGTTTAAAGGAAGCCTTTTAGAGTTCCGCCGTGCTAAGTTGCAGGGCTCTAAGTGACACGCAGAGTGTTGGCGTGGACCCACAGAGAGGGAGCGAGCCCTCAGGCTGAGTGTTTATGGCACTGTGTTTAAGCCGGTGAGCGCCACACGGAGGCCCTCGGCGTGCGGATTTCCCACCCCCGCTTTCATGACTGTGCCTTTTGGTGAAATAATTCCAATGTTCTTGCTTTCCTTCTTATGCTCTTTCATTCTTCCTCCCTTCCTTCCCTCTCTCCCTCCCCCCTCACCTACCTACCTGTCAACTATCGAGATAAAGAGAGAAGAGGAGGGAGAGAGAAAGACAGGTACCCTTGACAGGCCTCATCACGCAGTCCCCCCGGCCCTGCGGCCAGCCAGGGTCGTGGGCACCTGGTGTGTCAGCCGACCCAGGACGCCACCCGGGCCTTCTGCGCGACCTCCCCTCACGGACGCCCCACTGGGCCGGCCTCAGGCTCCGTCCTAGACTCAGAGCGTGCACATGCCCTCTGTCGGCTGGGACCCGGGGGACACCCACCGGCAAGTGCTGGCTCTGGCACGTGGGCTGGTCCTGGCCTTCGGGGTGGGCCAGACCCGGCGCCGAGCCCTGCTGGAGCAGAGCTGTGCTGTACCGTGGACACGGATCAGGAGCCGAGAACGTCCCTGAGCAGGGTGTGATGTACTCACCAAGCCCTCGGCAAGCCCGGGGCGCGAGCCAGGCTGCGAATGTGCCCTCTCTGCACACCACACCCTGGTGGGCCTGGCCTCTGCCTGTCGCGGTCCTGAACGGACCCCTCAGTCCCAGAGCACCGCAGAGACAAGGTCGGTGGGTCCCAGACGCCGCAGCCCAGCCGTCTAACCAACGCTCCCCGAGGGCATCGCCCCGTGACGAAGCCCCCGTGACGGGCCACAGCGAGGGGCAGAGGACGTGGGCCAAGGTGGGCCCAGGAGGACGGGCCCGCAGAGCCCAGAGTGGCTGTCTCTGACTCCGTGGGTCTAGGTGCGAACCCCGTGGCCCTGCCGCTCAGAGGCACTGGGACAGAGCACACCTGGTCCCCACGCCCGCTCATGCCGCTTGTCCTCGCGTGTGCAGGCGTACCAGCTCTCACGAGGACGCGTGTGGGTCATGATCACCGTGCTGTGTCTCATGGCGGCCGTGCTGTCGGCCTTCCTGGACAACGTCACCACGATGCTCCTGTTCACACCCGTGACCATCAGGTAGGCAGGGCGTGTGATGGGCGTCCCGGCAGCCCGGGCGGGTGGCGTGCTGGTGCCCGACCTCGATGGACAGGCGTCGTCGTGCCCCCTTCACGTGTAGGGCTCGCCAGCGTCCAGCCCTGCCTCCGTGCTCTGTGTGGCCTGCAGGCGGCCACGCTGCAGTAGCAGGTGGCAGGAGTGCGGCAGGGAGAGGACGCGGCCCCGCTTCCCAGAGCTCAGGCGCGTTGGGGTGGGGGTTAACCCCGGGGCCCCTCTAGCTCGGCTGCTGGCTCTGGCTTTGCCGCTCGGATGCTGGCTCTCGCTTTGACAATCGGCACACACCATTATTATAGTCCAGGAGCAGATCCTGGGCGCTCCCTCCGCCCTGCGCTGCCGCTGTCTGGGCCTGACGTGCCGTGGGGCCACGCCAGGTCCTGGTCGCCAGCTTCCACGTGGCTCCTGGGGCCTGTCAGATTCTCACACCAGCCTAGGGGAAGGCTTGCGGCGACTCCGCCCTGAACTGAGGGCAGAGGTGGCGGGATGGCCCTGGGGGCAGCAAGGACCTCTCTGGACGAGTGAGACCCGAGGCCTGGTTAATACGCGGGCACAGGCAGTGTGTACGGTGGGTGGCTGCTGTGCACTCCTCTGGAGCACATTGGCCACCGCGTGCTCCCGGGGCGCTCAGGGGGCACATCCCCGGGACTGTGAGCCTGGGCCTGGCTGCAGGACTCCAAAGACCCCAGCACAGAGCTGGGGTGCAGCCAGGCAGGAGAGCGTGTGCCCCTTGTCCGAGGAACAAGCGGGGGCGTTGGGGTGGGCGGGTGCAGCTTAAGGCCTTGGTGTCCGGGGGGAGGCAGCTGAGCAGGAGACCAGCAGGCTCAGCGGGAGCTGCGTGCTGCCCCACTCCACTCCGGGGGTCTGCTGGCCTTTCTGCCTGTGCAGGGTCTGCCCTCCACCGGGGACCCACACAGGCCAGCGGGGTGGGGAGGGAGGGCTCCTTAGCACTGATGGGGCTGATGGGGGGCGTGAACATTCAGGAGGTCGGCGTAGCCGAGGGCGTTGCTGCAGAGGCGTACCCCCGATTGTCCTCACAGGTGTGTGTGCGTGTGAGTGTGCGTGTGCACGCCTCCCTTGCACAGGAGGTGTTTTACGTAGCATGATGTCGTTTTCCCCCTTCGTGACAGGCTGTGTGAGGTACTCAATCTTGACCCCAGGCAAGTCCTGATTGCAGAAGTGGTCTTCACCAACATCGGCGGGGCTGCCACCGCCATCGGGGACCCCCCGAACGTCATCATTGTCTCCAACCAGGAGCTGAGGAAGCTGGTACGTACCGGCATCCCGGGCTTGCTTCCAGGTAATGGAGGCTCCACCTGAGGGGGACGTTGGTGTCAGAGGTTGAGCTCGTGCACTGCCGCTGTCACCTCTGTGTCCGGCTGTGGGTCATCTGGGATGGTAGGTGACGCCTCCTCCAACGCGGCGTTAGCTGGCCTCAGTGGACTTGGTTTTCTGTCTCTTTACAATGTCAGTTTCTGACACACACGGCAGCGTTTACCTTTGGGGCACAGTGTGGCTTTATCGGGCACGCAGACCGAAGTCTGCAGACGAAGACCCAGTCAGAACCGGGCAGTCACCCAGCACCGGCAGTTCTCCAGGGATGACCGACGGGTGTCTCCAAAGCACGTGGGCAACTGCAGCGCCTCTAACCGCTCTCATTCTGACGGGTTTTCAAAGGGGCGCTTGATGGCATGAGTGGCGCTAGTCATGTTCACGGGAGCAAGAGCCCCTTCCAGCTGCCGTGGAGAGCCCCGCGAACTGTCCTCTCTGGAGTTGCGCACTGCCTTCTCCGACGTGCGGATGAGCTCGGACAACTTCACGTGCACGCCGACATTTATTTACTTGTAACTTTTCGGAGGGCTCATGCACTCTCCGGAGAGGGAAAGCGAGAACGCACCCACGCGGGCTTGTCGTGTGCAGTCCCCTCTCCATCCTTCTCTTGGGACTCTGCACATGCACGTGTGCTCAGACTGCTGCTCAGGCCCTGGCTCTGGCGCTCCAGCTGCCCGGTCGGCCACGTGGACTCAGCCGCCCAACCACGGAGGCCCGCCCCCATGCTCTGCATGAGCTCCCCGCCTCGCCGGCCCCCCGCCCTGGCTCCATCCTGTGGAGGCGCATGGCTGCTGGGTCCCGACTGCGCTGTGACACCACACCCTTTGTGGCTGTGTGGACGCTAAGAGAAGACCTCGAGTCCTGTCCAGGGGTCCCATCCCATGGGCCAGCGGCCCTGCCCGCCAGGCTGGGCTCGGAGGTGCCCGCGCACAGCTGCTGCTGCTGTGGAGCACGGAGTCAGTGAGAGAGCCACCCACCGCCACTGTGACTTAGCTCGTTTCCAGCAAGGACACGCTCAGGCTGATCTCGGCGGAGCCACACGGGCGGGTGGAGGAGCATGCGGGGTGGGATGGGCTCCTGCCTGGAACCCTCGCGGCTGGTCCCAGTGCTGGGTGGCCCCACTGCGGCCACGGGCACCCACGGCAGGCCGTGGCTT